GCTGGCTGAGTTTGAAAGTCTTCCTAAAATAATTTTTAGCTTTTCCCTTTCTATTTTTTCCCACTTGCTTTTTGAGTTCCTTGCAGTGGGAACAAAACTGTGAGTTAGGAGTTGTATGGAGAGGGAGCAAAGAAAGAAAAAGCAGATAGGCTTGAGAACAAAAACTAAAAACTACCTAAAAGAAATATAATTTTAACTAGGAGCCTTGGAAGTAGTTTCTATTTTAACGGTCTGCACATTCTTTTGAATTTTCTTTTACGATGAAAAAGTGTTTTTCATCAGTGTTTATTTAAGAAAGAAATTATGATATACAAAGATGTCACTTAGAGATCTTGGCCCATTCTGCTGCACTCCCTTTCTGGGGATGGAATGCATGAAAAATGTCCTTTATAAACTTTCTAGTTTCTGCTCTTCCCCACCTGTGGAAGAGACCTCAACTCTCCCAGCTGCACAAAACCAAAGTTAAATATCTCTGTGTGAGGCATGGAATGGAAACAGGAATTTGGAATGGCCACAAGTATAAAACCAAAAAACTCAACTGTTTTGTTAATACTCTGCCTTGTTTTTCAAATTCTCTATTAGTGGTGAAGTGGGTCCTTAGCACAGATTTAATTTTGGCTGCAACAGAGGGAAACCTGCTTGTGCTGCCTCGAGAAAGCTGAGCTGAGTTGCTGGGGAGCTCCCTGCTGTGCTGGTGCCTGTGCAGGGGGATGCACCGCTGGCAGCCCAGAGCCACCAGCCACCCCCATGGCTTTTTGCTGACAAACCCGGAGCTCTTCAGAGGCAAGGTTTGGGGACTGATGGAGACAGCAGCAAGCTGCCTCTTCGGGGTTGGTCCGTGGCAGGGACACACTTTGGGACAGGTTTAGGGCAAGCCATGGAAAAGGAAAGACCCGGATAGCCTCAGTGTGACTTTCCTGTGGCACCCTCGCTGCCCATGTAGGTTTTTTGCCTGCCTTAGTAGTGACTTCAAATTATTTTTGTCAAGGAAATGAGGTACTTTCCACAAACGCCTTCCTAAAAAAAAGCCGTTGAGGGCTTATCTTGTGTGGGGAGACCTCTTAACCTCTATGGCACATGCCTTCCTCTGCTCCCTGCCCTGGAGGGACATGAGGGAAGAGCAAATGCCTGTGCCTGCACCAGTCTCTCTCTCTCTCTCGAGTAACTGTCTCCTTTAAGCCATGCAGGCAACAGCCCATGATTATCCAGCTGTCCTGATATCAAACTGAAAGATCAGCAGTTGGCAGTATGACTAATACATCCCGCCAGCCACAGGCAGGGATTGTTTACAGTAGCACAGAGAGCCTGTTTCTGCTTGAGCACTCCCACAGGAATTGGAAGTCCCATTTTGATCCCAAAATTGCATTGGTCTGGTGCTTCAACCCCATAGCCCCACTCACCAAACTCTCCACTTGTTAAACTCCTGGCTTTGACCACAAAAAGAGACCAAAGCCATCTTCAATTTAAAGCATGCAAATGAGACTTCCCATGACATCCCACAGAGCACAAAGGCAGAAAAGAAGTATGAAACAAATGAAGAAAATATCACAAGAAGTTCTAACAACATTTTTTTTAATCTGCAAAACAACCTTTTTTTTTTTTTTTTTTTTTTTTTCAAACAAAGAATTGTTATTACTTCCACAAACAGAGCTCAGGGCAGAAAATGTCAGTCCCAATACCTAAAATTTGCCAGTTACTTAGATGAATACAGAGTTGAAATGGGAAGGATCATACAGGGGAGAGATTACACAGGATCAATAAGGAGCTGGAGTTGAGTGCTTCCAAATATTGAAGGCATTTTACTTGATGGAGGTAGAGTCTGGCTGGTATTACATTTGTTTTGTATTAATTATAACACATTATGTCAAGCATGGGTATAGTAGCTTATGTGATTCACTATTAAGTTACAGCACTGAAGGACAGTGGCCAGAGACTGTAAATCTGTCTTTCCATCATGTTATCTGTAAATATACTGCCAGTGCATGGTGGGGAGAGAGTCCCAGCACTGCAGCCCCATGCTGGCATCCCAGTGATGCCAAAGCCTTGTGCAGGGCTGGAGGAGCCCTGTCCGCAGTTGGCAAGAGGCAGCATTATGTGCTGCAGATCCCACCAGCCTCAGCCAGGCTTGGGAGCCACAAAATCCCTGTTTAAATTAAGGCTTTCTCTTTACTTGCAAAAATATTTACAGCTGCAAAAATGTTTTCAGCTGCATCTCAACTGTATTTTCCCTACAGACCCCAGCAGTTTTTGTTCAGCCAGTATTTAACCATGTTGCTCTCGGTTAAAAGGCAGAGTCAGGCTAAGCCCAGCAGAGTAGAGGATGCAATCACAACCATATTTGAGCTCATTTTCTTCCTCATTTCTCACGCTTCTCAAAAGTAGCCTCAGATCTTGGAGTGTGATTTTGCAGTAAGTGTGTATATTGATAGGATGCCCACTGTATGTTGGTCTCATCCTTCCTTTTCTTTTTTTCCCCTCTCTCCCAACAACCTGTTAGGAAGGGATGGAAACAAACCCAGTGTAGAAGCAGCTGTGCTCTGCATGAACGTACACTGTGCTTAGGGACATAGTTTAGTGGTGGGCCTGGCACTATTAGGTTAATGGTTGGACTCAATGATATTAGAGGGCTTTTCCAACCTCAATAATTCTATGATTTTAAGGGGCAGGGTGTGATTCTTCCCTGCCTTACTTCCCTTCTCTGGTTTCTATAGAACGTAAGTGCTTGGCAGGCTTCACACAGGCAATGTCACAGCTCAAAATACACAAAGTTATTTTCTAGCCTTTGACCTTCCATTTTGTTGGAGTGTGGGGGGTGCATGTGTTTGACTCTTTGCCAATTTTTTAGTCCAAAATATCCATTACGATGATTACAGAAGAATGGGAGTATCATATGCTCCATTGAGGCTATCACTTCCTCTCCCTAAGCCCAGCCCTGGGGACTTGTGGTAATTTCACATCTCAGGCACAGATTGGGAGCAACAGATTTACCACCAGCATATTCAGGCAGGAACTTTCCATTACTCTGCTTGGCACTCTGTGACAAACTTCATCAGCGTGTTTGTCCCAGCCCCTCTTGCTCAGACATTGAACTGTGCTTCGCAACCTGTCCCTGGGGAGCTGTTTTTCAAAAGCCTCAGCAGTCAGGCAAATATCCACACTTTTCCTCATCAAAAACAGCAGCATCCAGTACAAGTGTGAAGTTTGCTTTAAGCCTGGAGTAGGTTTTCCAAGTCCCGACTAGTTTGTTTTCAGTGAAAACAAAGGTTGCCCTATCTTCACTTTGTGGTGCAACCTGTCTCTATGTGTGCTTGTGGGAATGCTAGCATGCTTCCAGTTGCCACAGCTTTCCAAGAATATGAGAGAGGCTTGAGTAGCACAGAAAAGCCCTAGTGGAGTTTCAACCCTAATCTGCAGGAGTGGAGAAGAAGGGAATCTGATATATTTGAATTTCAGGTCTGTCTCTTGCACTACATGTCCAGGCATTACTGCTGACCCTGCTTCTCTCAAGCTGAGTGTTTTGGGGAAACAACAAAATCAGTAGGCAAAACTGGAAAAAAAATTGGCTACCACTGGGAAAATGGCAGTAGGCAACTATGGCAAGATGCCTTGTCAGGGCAGCCCATGGGCACTGGTGAGGCCCCTGCCCCAGGACCAGGGGCTGTGTGGTTGGCACAGGACCAGAGTGGGGACTACAGTGCAGGGTCCCCAGTGGGAATCCCTGGCATTAGGAGCAAAGGAAGTGATCAGACTACACGGGCACCCTGTTCTAGCAGCCAGCACAGGCAGCTGCTGGAGCAGGGCAGAGGTTGAGTCCCCATCACTGAGCCCCCTCATTCCCTTTGCCCATGTCCTGCATTCAAACCAAAACACAAGCACAGGACTACAGACAGAGAGAGAGACTTCTCTGCCTGAAACCCTGTAGGAAAATAGTGGTTTGCCTTGTCTAAAACTCTGAAGAGTCCTTCCTGATTCCTCAGCTGTTGTTACTTGGTTTGGAAAAAAGCGGTGCAAACCACTTCCTTTTGCTACAGAAGCAGGGGAACTGTAGCATAAGACCTGAGCTTAAATGGAAAGTGTGAATGGGACAGAATGTCTAAAAATTTCTAGTTATGGTCTTCTAGCAGCTGGTAAATGAACCTACCAGAGGTGGGGCCCCATTAGACCTGTTGTTTACAAACAGAGAGGGGCTGGTGGGGAATGCAGTGGTTGGAGGCCGCCCGGGGCACAGTGACCATGAAATAATAGAGTTTGCAATACTCAGGGATGCAGGGAAGGCCACCAATAAAACCTCCACACTGGACTTCCGGAGGGCAGATTTTGGCCTGTTCAGAAGACCGGTCCAGAGCATACCCTGGGAAAAAAACCTTGAAAACAAGGGGATGCAGGAGGGATGGACGTGTAGTGTCCAGCTCTGGGGTCCTCAGTTCAGGAAAGACATGGATTTGTTGAATTGAGTCCAGAAGAGGGCTAAAAATGTGATCAGATGCATGGAGGACCTCTCCAATGAGGAAAGACTGAGAGAGTTGGGGATGTTCAGCCTGGAGAGCAGGAGGCTCCAGGGAGACCTCATTGCACTCTTTCAGTACTTTTAAGGGGGTTTGTAAGAAAAGTGAGGGCAGACATTTTAGTTGGGCCTGTAGTGACAGGACTAGGAGTAACAGTTTCAAATCACTGCCCTCGCAGTTTAAAACTAAAAGAAGGTCGGTTCAGACTAGATATATAACAGAAATGTTTTACAACAAGAGTGGTGAAACACTGAACAGGTTGCCCATACCTGGGAACACTGAAGGTCAGGCTGAGTGGGGCTTTGAGCAACCTGCTTTAATTAAAAATGTCCCTTCTCATTGTGGAGGGGTTGGACTAGATGTCCTTTAAATGTCCCTTCCAACCTAAGCCTTTATGATTCTGTTTTACAGTATCACTTTGGTCCATATGCATTACTGGAGCTGTGGGGATTTCTGTTAGCAGAGTGGTCAGGTTGTTGGTTTAGATGGATTTACTTCAGTCCTCTTTCTGTGGTGGTGGTGGTTTTGGTTGATTAGGTTTTTTGTTTGTTTGTTTTGTATTGCTTTTTGTCATTTGTTTCACACACTGTCTGTGTAACAGCAGAACATGGCTCCTCTGTGCAAATTCCAGATGCTTCTGGCATGGGGCAAGTATGTAGCAAAGTCTTTTCTAATATGGGAGGTTGTGTACAGAAGGATGGGATTCAGGTTTGATGTGAAATTACCAAGCTCTTGGTCATGCTGTGAAGTGTGTGGGATACCCAGAGCATGTTGTGGCACAAAGCTGAGGCGGAGGAGTGGAGGAAAAAGAGTGTTTGTTACTTCATTCAGCTTTTTTATTTGTCTTATAAATTGCTTTAGAAAAGTGAAGTGCTGTTTGTTTATTCATTCATCCTCCTCTGGCATAGATCCCAGATTACTGGGATGGGAAAGAAGATATCTCCTTGAAAGCTGTGAAACCTTGTATGGTTCTTCCCCCTCCCAGGCCTGCATCACAACACTAAAATTTTCCTCTTTCTTATCCTTCGGAAAGACTTACAGCTCAGTATCTCCCACTGCGTCAGCGTCTGGCAGCCTGCTTCTCTCTACTTCTGCCCTCACTGGTAAAATGAAACTATGGCCCTGCTGTTGCTGTTACAGAGATTGGAGCCGTGTGTCCATTCTGGGCCAGCTTGCCAAGAGACCTGGCTCTGAAAACCTTGCCAGGGCTGCTCGTTAGCTCAGCAGTGTCAGAGTGCTGTGCAGAGTAAGCCAGGCAGGGCATGAGAGAGGCATATCCTGCCTTCCCCAGCGCTTCCCAGTGAGCAGAGCCCAGCTGCGGGGTGAAACCCTCAGCTCCTGCCCTGGGCTATCCCTGCTCCAGGGTGGCATGCTAATTGTATTCTCATAGTATTGCACGTGGATATTTTAAAAATTTACCCCTCCTGATTTTCTTCACATCGCATCACCGAGTGCCAGTTTTGTTTCCTCTATGCATATGAGGAGCAGTTGCCCTATGATGGAGCTGGGGCCGTGTCATCAGCATCTCCAGTGCTGCCTTGCACAACTCCCTGCTCTTGATCACATGCACTTTGCAAGAGGGGATTTCTTCCTCTGACGGGGCAGCCAGCCCTGGCACACCACAGCAAGCCTGCCCACGCAGGGCATGCAGGGATACAGGGGAAGCAGCCTGGATTGGATGTGCTGTGGTTTGAGTACTCAGCTCTGGCTGCCTGTTTTTTGAAGTATTTAACCTTTCCATTCAATCTTGTATAACAGTGGTCAAGCTGAGTGGGCTCAGAGGCCAACCCAAGTGTGGTATCCTGCCTAAGACACCTGGACTGCAGTGTATTTTGTTTCTGTTTTTTCCAGCAGTTTGTGAGGGATTTTTCATGCGTGAATCTGCTGCTGAGCCTGTCCAACCTTTTAGCTTCCTCTCATGGCAATGACTTCCACAGGTTATTTGCCTATTGCATGAAAAAAAAACCTAGAAGTCCTTGTTTTCCATTTAAACCTGCTGTCTGTTCATTTAATAGGATGCTCACTTCTAACGGAGCTCTCTTTGTGAGGAGCATCAATCCCATCTCACCCTCCTGATGCTTGTGGCTCTGGGGGTCCATGTGGGGCCCTGCAGCTGTAGGGCACTCTTTGGTCTTCCTGGAGTGATGCAGCTCGGGGGGCACCTTTCTCCTCTGACCATTCTTGATCCCAGGACAGAGGGAGGGGGTCTTGTGGAGAAAAATCTTTGGAGAAAGGAGTTACCAAAGCCCTATGCCACTGCTGAGGATATCCCAGTGCAGAGTGCTGTTTGGAGTTTGTAGCACTGTGCCACTCAGAAGAGCAAAAAGAGCCTCCTGTGAGGTTTGTCGTGAGCAAGCAGCATCATAAATGCCTGCTGCAACAGCAGCCACACTGTGCTGTGGCCCACACACCCACGAGTATGTTCCAAGAGGACCTCAGGCTTGAGCAGACACATGTCAGGGGCCCATCCCCTGTCCTGCCTCTGCTCCCTGGGGACAGCATACACACGTGTGTGGCCGGTGCCTGAGACACCGTAACCAGCCCCTGGCTGGCCTGACTGGTGGGCTGGGAACCCCAGCAGCTATGAGCTCTCCTGCTGTGAACTGCTTCAGCTTGGCAATCTGGGAACCCACTGGGCTGCACTCCATGGCTCGGGGACAAAAGTTCCTCTGCAGGAGTTTCCTTCTCACACTTACTTGGCAGGTGGTTTCTGAGCTCCATCCAGAGGAAGGCAAGCAGGGTGAAAATACCATGAGGAAAGCAGGCTGGTGATCCCCATCATGCACCTAAGGCAGTCCCTTCTCCTTTTACGCTTGCCAAGCATCTGGGAAAGTGATGCCTGAGCACTGGCCTGAGGCTCAGCCAGTTCTGTCACCCAATACACCTCAGCCTCCTCATCGAGCTGAGTTGCTGCCTACCATCTCCACACCTTTGCGTTCGTCTTCCTAGAGCTGAGCCTTTGTTTCTGCTGTCTCCAGCAAGGTTTAGAAAAACACAAGTCATCCTCAGACCAGATCAGAAGCAAAGAAAAAAATTCATTCCTCCAACTCCTTCATGCATTATCACTGCAAAGCTCCCCAGGTTTGAGCTTCCTTGCACAGACTTCCTGTCACCTGGGAAATGTCCTGGGCAGGCCCCATGGCTTCCTTAAAAAACTTCCTTGGAAGTGTGTGAATGTCTGTTCTAATAATTGACTAAAAATAGGTAAAGATCAAAAAGGAAAAACATCTGTTCCTTCTTGCAGACAAAAATGTTAGAAATTCAGTCATAATGGTGTGAAATGTTTTGTGTTGCTGATAGGATCTTTGTTTGGTTTTGAAACAAACACTGTTGTTGTTGAAATGAAGCATAATTTTGACATGAAATGTGGAAACAATCTTGAAAAGAATCAACAGAAAGTTACTGCCTATGGGAATGTGTCTGCTCTCATTTGAATCCAAATTACCTTAATGTGACCCAGTCCAACCCTTCAACTCTCTTTATTCAACTATTGAATTGCTTTCAAAGGAGTTAGGTGGGTTTGGCAAAAATTAAGGGATTTTCATCCAAGTCAATGTTTGCTCAGATTAAGGACAGTCACCAGCCTTTTTCTTAAATCTAACCTGTGGGTGGACCTTTCAAAGGAATAATGCTGCATTCTGTGAGCTCAAACCCCTGCCCAGAGACCAGTATACCAACCCTCTCCCTGCTATCAGGATCGTGTCCCTCTTGCAGAGTCCCAGGCCCCTCTCTCCATCACCTCCTCCGTTTCTTCTCTTGACCTGTTGCTGCAACCATCCTTGTAATCCCACCTGAACTGCTCCTCAGCTCTGCAGCTCTGTGTGCCAGGACTCCAGCAGGGGTTTAAACATTTGAATTACACGTTGTCTGGGTGTGCTAAGAGCTGCTGTGTCCATGGCCGTCTGATGGCTGACGTTTTGGGGGTGTTAGTGTTGCCAAGCTCCAGTGTGGGTGCACAAGCAGCGGGAACAGCTTTGTCCTGCAGTTCAACCCCAGGAAAGGTACACTGCAATTTCCCTCAGGCTTTTATTTGGTAGGTTTTAGCTTGGAGAGTTTCGTTGGTGGGAGAGAAGGGTATAAGTGTTGGGAGTGCCAAATGGATGACCAGTCAAACTTCTAAGTTAATCACCCTTTTACTCTGTGACAGCAATCACAGCAGACTGTGCTTGGCTTCTTCATGCCCCTACCATGACACAGGCATGAGTAAGTTTGTTTTGGTGGGGAGCTGGGAAAACAAGGCAATTCCCCAAGAACAGCTCCTGATGGCATACAGCCAGCAGTTGAACTGCAGTTTACCTGATGTTTCACACTCCACTGGTGCGTGGAGGGTTGAAAGTGAAAGCTGAGCCTCTCTATTTGCTTATCTGCCTTGTCTATTTACTGTCAGAACAGAAAAGCTGATTGAGGCTCAGCTAGAAATAAAATCAAGATTTAGGTCAGCTTTGTAGCCGTGGTGAGGTTTTCTGCCCAGCCCAGGAACTGGTAATCCAGCTGGCATTACCAGTTGGCACCTGTTGCATCCCTGTTTAATTATCAGCCTCATTCAGAAGCCTCTCCCCTTGGGTGTCCCCTGGTAAAAGAACTGAAACTTCCTTTCCTGCTTCTCTTGGCTTAGCAAGATATCATTTATGAGCTCACAGAAGTGGGCAGGTTGATGACAGATCTCATCTGGCCACCCAGCACCTGGCAGGATGATCTAAACATGGTGCAGTGCTCTTCCAAGTTGAGGGCAGGGAGGGGAGGAGCAGGCAGTGAAGGTGAAATCAGAAAGGAGGCGTACTTTACTGTTTGCAAATGGTCTGGCTTCGGGGCTTCCCAGGAAACTGATGCAAGAAAGGTCTTGTGATGGCAGGGCAGCCTTGCAGGGCTGTAACTTGACCTCTTGTCCCTGCTGTGATGCAATCCCTTGGGAGCTCCCACATCCGCATAGTTGTTACTTGGTTTACAAAGACCCAGATGTTTCCCCCACACATACAAGCTGCCACTCACCATGTGTACACCACCTGCCAGAACATCAGGTGAAATCCAGACCCCATAAGTGTAGGGATATCCCATAGATCTTTTCCCCCCAAGACTACCCAATCTTATTGGGATATATTGTAATTAGAAGCCTCTCTGTGCAGCCTGAAGTTCCCTGGGCAGCTATTTTTCTCATCGTGACATGACTCAGTGTGCCTGTTCTCAGAAAATGCCTGTTTCTCCTCACCCTCACTCAAGTCCTGGTGCAATGTAGGTGAAGAAAAAAACCTTCATCCCCAGGGAAATTTGAAAAATCTGAATTCTGCTAGTAACATTGCCTCCTTTTGCATGGTCATTTACTCTGATGTGGAAGAAAAGCAGCAGGCATCATCAAGCCTGACTTGCACGCACAATGAGGCCTCTCTGACTGCTGCATGAGAGCCAGCTGCAACCTTCCTGTTGAGCTTTTGTCACCGTGAAAGGTGATGGGACAGGGAGAACAAGCCAGAGAGATCCCAGCCTCAGCTGAAAGGCTGTGATGAGTGTGGTATCTGTCATGAATTTTGCTTTAGGTCCTGTTTCGGTTAAGCACCAGAACCAGGTCCACATTAGCAACTGATGTGATATGAGTGATCCCTAAGCAGGGCCATATCCAGTTCTGCATACGCAGCGAGGCAGTGAGTTATGTAGGAAGTCACTTTGTCAGGCAGAACCATACTTTGTGGGGACATCTGTGCTGTCACAAAGCTCAGTGAGAGGGGATGTTTCCAGCTGAGACCATGTGAAGATGGCCAGGAGTGGACCTGGTATGCAGGGGACAAAAGCCGTCGCCTGCTGGTGCCCCTTGGACCGCTGTGGCTCTCCCCCAACATGCTGTTCAGGAGCAGTGGTGCCAATATGGGCCTTTAAAGCTCTGAGTGCCTGTCCCAAGCACTGCTTTGCTGTTCACAGATTAATGAGTGCTGGAGACCCGAGTCCAACCACGAGCAGAGCCAAGGGCTGTGGCAGTGCGTGTATAGAGTGGTCTCACATGGCTGCTGTCTGAGCCGTGTGCTTGATGGGGACCTGCCTTAATTTCAGTCCAAGGGTGACTTCTGCCCACTGCCTTTTTGTGTAACCTCTTGCTGCCTTCATCACTTGGGTGGCTGTGACCAGAGCAGCAAGCAAATCTCCCCACCATTTGAACAGTGTCAGAGTGATTCTGGCAACCCCCCAATGGTTGGTCTGGTATTTCAAGCTGCGGAAAACCACTGCAGCAATTCAGGTCTGTTTCAAACAAACTGCGAGTCTTGGCCTGAGGTTGATTTTTTTCCCCCCACGTTCCTGAATTCGTATGCCTTGCCATGTGCTAAAGTCGGTATTAGAGGGGCTGTGAGGACCAGGTGATATGCAGGGCACATCTGTGTGTGTGTTTGCAGGGTGTGCAAGCACTGCAGAACAGACTCAGAAATAGCTGAGCTGACATGGATGATCCTAAGTACCAAAAGTGCTCAAATAATTGTGACACAATATTTGTAACCACAGTCCCTACTTAATCTGTCTTAATTAGTTCTTGCAGTTTCCTGGGTTTGGAGAAAGTGCAAGTGTAAAAGTGTTGCAAGAACAATACTGCGTGTACTTTCATTTGAAGTATTTTAGCATGCTCATGCTGTTGATGATTGTGGTCAGGAGGAGAAGGAGAAAAACAAAGCTTCAGACCTCGAAATCTGAGTCACTGTTCTCAGCCTGGGAC